GTCCCCTGAGCACCACCAGGGATAATTCCTGATTGCAGAGCCAGGAGTGACCCCTGTGCATCACCGGGTGTGACCCAAAAAGAAAAAAAAATAAAATTGTGGAGAATTCAAGTATGTCAGCAAGCTGAATGAAAACTCCCCTAAAGTCTGAAGTGAAGGCAGCTGTTAACATTTTGATACATTTTTGTTGGCTTTTCTCTGCCTCTCTTCTTCTCAGAATAATACTGCAGTGACTTTCTTTGGGAAGTTTCTCTTTGATCTCTTGTTATTTTCTTGTGATTGGTGCAAAGGAATTGAGTAATTTTATTTTATTTTTGTTTGTCTTGGGGCCACACCCAGGTGTGCTCATGGCTTAGTCTTGGCTCTGTGCTTAGAGGTAGTTCATGTCAGGGCTCAAGAGACATTATATGATGCTGGGGATTGAACCGAGGGCAGCTATGTGCACAGAAAGTGTCTTCCCTGCTAAGTGCTCTCTGCAGGACCAGAATTGAGTGATTTTATTATTTTTTATTTTTTTGCTTTTTGGGTCACACCCGGCAATGCACAGGGGTTTCTCCTGGCTCTGCACTCAGGAATTACCTCTGGTGGTGCTCAGGGGACCATATGGGATGCTGGGAATTGAACCTGGGTCGGCCGCATGCAAGGCAAATACCCTACCCGCTGAGCTATTGCTCCAGCCCCATTGAGTGATTTTAAACCTCTGTGTATAGTATGACTGGTTTTCTAGTAAGGGTTTCTTCTTCTTGGCAGTCTGCCAGTTCTGAGTGTTGAGATTAAGTTATTTTCACTGATAATGCTCCCATTTTTAGTTTCATTTAGAACTGCATTTCTTGGGGCCGCAGAGAGCTGGAAGGGCTGCTGCCCGGTGTGTATTGCGTGCAGGAGGCTCGTGTTCCAATCCTGCCTGGAATGGTCCCCGGAGCACAACTGGAAGCAACTTCTGAGCAATGAGCTGGGCACCCCCCCCCCTCCACCGTCCAGCTCTGCCTAGTGTGGCCCAAACTCCATCCTCTCCCCACAAAAAAGGTTTTCCTCTTAAAGCTGCAGATTTCTTCAGTGGGTTTGTTTGCAGAACTAGACTTACCCAGGCTTTTGGGACTTCCCAATAGTGCCCAGGGAGGCTAGCTGCCCTGTAAGGAGTCTCAGAAGTCATGCCGTAATTACAGGTCAGACTCACAGGTCAGTGGGGTTGGGAGTGGGGTGGGGGTAGGCTGGGGGTGGGTTGGAGTTATGTCCTAGTCTGCATGGAAAGCACCCCAAAGAGAGACAGCTTGGGAAATAGGATTTGAGGTCACTTCATCTCACTGGGTCTGTGATCCATACTCCCTGTTCCTTTTTAAAATTTTTTTTTTTGCTTTGCTTTTTGCTTTTTGGGTCACACCCGGCAATGCACAGGGGTTATTCCTGACTCTGCACTTGGGAATCACTCCTGGCAGTGCTGGGGGACCATATGGGATGCTGGGAATCAAACCCGGGTTGTCTGCATGCAAAGCAAACACCCTACCCACTGTGCTATAGCTCCAGCCCCCCACCCCTTTTTAATTTTGTCTTTTTTTTATTTTGGGGGCCACACTTGGTTCAGGGCTTACTCCTGGCTCTGCTCAGGGATCACTGCTGGTGGGGCTCAGGGGACCATAAGCTGGAGATTGAACCCAGATGGGCTGTGTGCAGGGCAAATGCTCTCCTTGCTGTACTATGGCTCTGGCCACTGCACCTTTTATTTTCTAGAATTGATGGCTCTCTTGAGAAGCAGGAGTTGGGGTCACAGCCATGTGCTAAGGGTGCCTCAAGTTTCTTCCTTTTATGAAGCAGCAGACAGCATAGGAACACATTTTGGAAAGGGTTTAGCTACTAATAAAAGGCTGGGAAACCCATCCATTTGCCTGAGGGGTGGTCAGAGATAGAGGAGGCTCCTCCGAGTTTGTGGAAAGGACTTATGGGAGACTATGGAGATGAGGGGGTATACCAGAGTGGCTCAGTGCTGCTGGCTAAGTCAGACTGAAACCCAGGACTTGAGAGGAAATGGGCTTCTTGCATCTTGGCCAGTGAATGGTCACAAAACTGCACCCACATTCAAATCACCCTGGACTTCCTCTGGGGCCACAGCTGCACTGGCTCCCACGACTACCTCAGCATCTCCCAAGCAACAGTCAGGCAGAGTGACTGTCACTGATGCCTCTGCCAGCTCACGTTTTGATATCTCGTTTTCCTAAGTCCTCTGGAACTGGAAAGACTCCTGGATACAGGCCACTCTGTCCTGGTGTGGGACAAGGTCTCTCAGTGGAAGGGCAGCATGCAGGCTGGGCTCAGCTTTCAGCTAAGTGGCAAGAGGATGTGGGCAAAGGCAGGAGGGCATTCTCGTGTCAGTTTTTGCTCTTTATAGATAGAGGACTCTTGCCTTGTCATGGCAAGTAATAAGCTCACTGCTGACCATTTGCCACTACAGGAAGGAGAGACAAAATATCCTCTAGAGGGGCCAGAGTGATAGCACAGCGGGTAGGGCGTTTGCCTTGCACGTGGCCAACCTGGATTCGATCCCCGGCATCCCATGTGGTCCCCTGAGCACTGCCAGGAGTAATTCCTGAGTGCAGAACCAGGAATGACCACTGAGCATCGCCGGGTGTGACCCCCCTCCCAAATAAATAAATAAATGTTCTCTAGTTCCATTACGCCAGCCTTTGAAAACCTCGTTTCCAGATGTAGGGAGAGCCCCCGCTTTCCATTTCCATGGACCAGGCAAACTGCCCACCAAGTGTGGCTCCAGAGGACTCAGGACAGTAGAGACCAGAGCTGAGTTTGGAGCGATGGACGCGTGCCTGTGGGAGATTTGTGTGGCAAGGTCAGGAGTCTGGTCACATGCTTTAATGGGCTCACTAACTGGGAGGTAGGAGAGGGCACAGAACCTGCACCTGCTAGAATGAATGTGATCAGACAGAGGTGGGGAGGGCAGGGTGACCTGTGGAGGGCTGGTGGCCCGTGACTACCCCACCTCGGCGACTCTGGAATCCCACACAGGCATGGTTCATGGTGGGTCTGTGGGCGCCCTCTAGAGCAGTTCCGGGGATGCTCCTGCGCCCGCTTTGCAGGCTCTTTGGCAGGCTTCTCAGTCGGTTTGTCTGGGACTGTGTGAACTTGCTGCAGCAACCCCAGGCGCCGCTGCTGTCTGGGCAACTGCCTGAGCTGAGTGAGGCCTCTGGGAGGGGCTCAGAGGGAAGTTGAAGCTCAGAGGAGTTGGCTCCAGAACTGATCCTGTGATTTGTACCTGGATGTGGTTACAGAGACTCTAATTGCAGGCTCAGTGCTGAGCCTGCCTGCGTCCCCAGGGCACCCGGGCTGTGTGTGTGCTTTAGCAGCAGGTCAGGCGTCCCGGCGTGTGCATTCACTGCAGCCCTGACTCATTGCCCAAGTTCCCAGTGCTGCCCTGGGCTGCCACTCCTCAACCAGGCTGGGGGGAGGGGGACAGGCAGGTTGCTGGTGTTTGTGCTGAGGGCTTCAGGCAGCCCTGTCCTTGGCCCCTGGGGAGTGCCTGGGGGGGGGGGGGGGTGTCTCTCATTACCTCCGTTTCCCAAGGACACAAATTCAGCACAGACATGCTGCGGGTCAGTGAGTAGTGTCATGGTGACACCACAGTCCTTGCCTCTTCCTGTCCAGGTTGCACTGTGGCACACAGGTGACCTGGGCCTTTGTATTGAGTTGCTGATGGTGTGGTACAGTTAAGGGAACCACAGCAACAGCCCAGGGCACAACCGCATCATCATGAGCCATAGATGCAAATTGTCCACTCCCTGGGCCTCAGTATCACCTCCATGTGTGCATTTCCTGGAGTTGCAGTGAGGATCAGAGCAGGAAGCATGGCAGGAAGTATTAGTGCCCAGTCCACATGGTATAGAGCGGAGGGCTGGAGAGGCTTTAATCCCTCCCGCCTCCCCTCTTCTCCCATTGTAGAATTCAGGCTGCTCCTTCCTCTCTCAGAAAAGGGGCTTTGGAGCCACTTGGCTGTCTCAACGTAGCCTCTGGGGAAGATCTTGGCCTCTTGTGGCTCTGGCTTCATGTCCCTGAGATGGAGGGTGTTTCTTTGTGCATCTGTAGGTCAGTGAGCCAAGGACATTTGGATTTGTTACTAATTGTTGGGCTTGATTTTCTCATGGCGCTCTGGTGCCCAGAGCAGTCACAGACTCTTTCCTTTGTCCTTTCATTTTTTCCTCTGGTGCAGCAGTTTGCATTCACTTGCCTACAGCCTTGTTTGAACCAGTACTTGTGGAAGTTACCTTTGGGCTGTTTTGTCGTACAAGACCCATTTACTCCCCTTTGAGGAGGGGACAGAATGACCTGGAAGGCTCCTCACTCCATTGGTGTCTTCCATAGTTAAAGCCCTGGCTGGGGTTGTGAAGGAAGGGTGTGTGGCAGGGGCCTGAGGAAAGCCTCCCCGAGAGTTTGGGCCATGGAAGGGGCCAGAGTGTGTGGGAGGTGATGGTCCCGAGGGGGGCTTCAACCCGAGGTTTGAATATCCATGTTCTTGTCAATCACATAATGAAGTGACATGGACAGATTAGGGCCATAAGGGTCTTGGACGGCTTTCTGCTCTTTTGTCCTTCTGCAGCATAGCCAAGGGGATATCCTGAGGTCACCTCCACCCAAAGATGCTTGGAAACCTCAGCATCAGGATGCAGGAAAAGGGATCTCCATGGTCTTGCCCAGAATGGATTTGGGGTGATTGTGGGGCTCTGCACATTGGGAAAGGCTACCCTCAGTAGTAGGGTTAGAGGGAAACTGGTGAAAGGCAGACCTGATTTGCACCCAGACTTCACTCCCTGTTTTTGTATCTTCCTGAGCCTTAGCCCAGGCTATGTCTGCTTGATAGACTTCGGGTTCCTCTGGATGCTGAGGCAGAGTGGGGTTCACAGGGTCCCCCCAGCATCTGGACTTTGAAAGCAGCTTCTCCCTATGTGGGGAGTCTCCAGCTGGCTCCGGCACTGGGTAACTGTCTATCCTGTTTCCAGGTGTGCAGGAAGCACCGGGTCATGCACCCAAGACTCCAACCCAGCGTGGTCTGAGCACTGGGGAGAGCAGAGGCATCCTAAGGAAGATGGCCATGGCCCCAGGCCCTTCCCTGACTCAGATGCACACCGGCCCCATGGCTGTGGCTGTGTGGGAATGGCAAGATGGACTGGGAATCTGGCACCCCTACAGTGCTACCGTCTGCAGCTACATCGAACAGCAGTTTGTCCAACAGAAGGGCCTGCACTTTGGGATGGGCAGCCTGGCCCAGAGCATCCCCTTGGGCCAGGCAGACCCCTCGCTTGCCCCATACATCATTGACCTCCCCAGCTGGACCCAGTTCCGCCAAGACACTGGTAAGCTACTTCCCGGCCCAATATGAGTTGGGCCCCATGCTGGGGGGTTGAGGTTATAGAATTGACTCCCTGGACTGTGCCTGGGCCCTGAAGGAGGTGGGCTCATGGGTAATAGTGCACAGAACGCAGTGTGAGATGCAGTTCAGAGCATGGCGTTCCTCTGGGGGCAATGCTCACGCCAGCCAGTTGCTCTTCCTAGTCTCCCAGACTCCAGACACCTGCCTACAGATTGAGGGTCCCACTGGGGGTAGGCATCATGGTCCTGCCCCACTGCCCAGTGGCCATGGAACGAGGCAGCTTTCTTCATGCTCCTGTGCATGTGTTGGCTTGTCTACTTGGGGTTTAGACAAGTCTCCCCAAGAATGGGGCCACCAACTTCCTCCCGAGCTGTTCCTCTGACTGAGGGGTTCCCCACTTTTTTTTTTGTCCCTTAAGTCATTTGAGAGCATTCGAACAGTTTAGATTAGTTTCTATGGCTTGGGCGGGGGTCGGGGGGAACTCTCATAGTGAGTTCAGGGATGCTACAGCACAGAACCAGCCCCACAACAAGTGTCTTTAGAGCCTCCTCCTGGGGTATGGAGATAGGACGCCCTACTAAGAGACAGCAGACAAGATGGGTGACTCATGTGTCTTGGCAGGCAGGGCTGCCCAGGGAACAGAAGAGGCCAGTGTGGGAATTTGAGTGCAGGGGACCTGGTCACCAGGAAGGGCAGAAAGGCAGGAGGGGACACAGCTGTACCTCCTTTTGCAGCCTCTGTAGCTTTGGTTCTTCAGGAGGACCTCAGCAGTGGGTAGAGGTCGGTGGTCATAAACCCTTGTGCTCTCTCCTCTCCTCGTAATCTTCGGGTCTGGTTTATTAAAACCTTCGCTAACCACAGGGTGTTGCCTTTACTTGAGAAGTCAAGGGGAATGGCAGGTTTGTGCAGGGGAATTAGGTAGCAGTTGGTAATGGTTTTTACAGATGTAGAGACAGGAGAAACGCTCGTGCTGAATACCTGCAGGATGCAGGAAGTACTTGTGGCCTTTTTGTCGCTGGACTGCGGCTCCCTGTGTGGTGTGGACGTGCCTGAAGGCCCGACAGCCACCTCCTGGGGTCAATCCTGGCTTCCTCTCCCTCTCCGTGAGGACTTAGGGATGATTTCATCTGCTTTAGACTCTTTGGGTTTTAGGTGTTTTTTCCCCCCCGTGGGTTGTTGTTTTTGGTCCACACCCGGTGGCACTCAGGGGTCATTTGTATTTCCATGCTTGGAGGTTGCTCCTGGTGGTTGGGGTGGCCCTGTTTTGCTGGGATCAAACCCAGGGCTCCCGCAGGCACAGCCTTCTAGTCACTTCCCCGGCCTTCTTTCAGTGCCGTGAGTCAGGCTGAAGAGGTCTAGTCGGGAATGTCAGGTTTGTGCCTGCCCCTCTAGCTGCGATTTCTGTGGGTCTCACACTTGACTGTAGTGCATCAAGGGCCACTTGCAGAACTTCGCAGCCATGTGGAGTGGTGCTGGGGATCTGACTCACAGGGCAAGTGCTCTCCTCCTGACCCATGTCCCAGTCCTCCCAGAAATGCTGATTTGAAATTCCTCCTTGAGTCTGAGGCCCAGCAGTCCTTTGGCCTTAGCTTCCACACCTCTGTCTCTTGGGCCCTTTGGACTTCAATTTCTTTTCCTAGAGAGAGTTCTCCACCGACTGCCTCATTCCTCATTTGAAAAGAAGCAAGATCAGAGGACAGCACCACCTCCCATAGTGACCTTGTTGGTTTATATCAGGTGTAGGAGATGAGTGTTTTCTGGTTTGTTGTTGTTTTTAGTTTGGGAGCCACGGTTGGCGATGCTCGGGGTTACTCGTGACTCTGCACTCAGTAATTACTCCTGGCAGTGCTCGGGGTAGCATATAGGATGCTGGGGATCAAACCTGGGTGTTTGCTGTGTGCAAGGCAGCGGCTTACCTGCTGTACTCTCTCTCTGGCTCCATGGAGAGGAGTTTTGAAATGGCCTTTGTTTGGGGGAGGCTGACAACTAACCCTGTCTGTGAACCTCTCTCGGGCACATAGGCACCATGCGGCCTGTGCGGAGACACCTGTTCCCCCAGTGCTCAGCTCCAGGCCGAGGCATCATCTGGGAGTGGCTGAGTGATGACAACTCCTGGATACCCTACGAGGCCAGCGTCTGCGACTACCTGGAGCAGCAGATTGTCCAGGGCAACCAGCTTGTGGACTTGGCACCCCTGGGATACAACTACACGGTGAACTCCTCAATCTGCATCCAGACCAACAAGACATCCAGCTACTGCCGCAGTGTGCGGCGCCACACCGGCCCCCCCTACCCCTTGACGACTGTCATTGCCCCGCCGGGCCACACAGGCATCGCCTGCTCTTGCCACCAGTGCCTCGGTGGCAGCGGAACTGGCCCCGTGTCAGGCCGCTACCGCCACTCCATGACCAACCTCCCCGCCTACCCTGTCCCTCAGCACTCCAACAGGACTGCTACGGTCTTTGGGACTCACCAGGCCTTTGCTCCATACAACAAACCCTCCCTCTCGGGGGCGAGGTCTGCCCCCAGGCTGAACACCACCAACCCCTGGGCTGGGGCACTGCCCTCCGTGGGGGCCCAGCCCCTCTACCGCTCCAGCCTCTACCACCTGGCATCTCAGCACCTGCCCCCAGGACCATCCATGGCCAGTACAACCAGGTACCTTGCTCTTGGGGTTCATTGGGTCAGCACCTGGACCTCTGCTTTCAAGTCACCCAGAGCCTCACCACCCCAGCCCTCCTTGGCGCCGGCCCTAGGTGTCTGCTGAGTCGTCTCAGTCTCAGTCTCCTGGGCCACATGGTGCCAGGCCCTACAGTCCTCACGCACATCCTTGGAGCTTGCCTGTTCCTGTGCTTGATGCTGGTCACTGCCTCATGGATCAGGACCTCCTGCTGCCTTAGAAGCTGTTTCAACATCTGGCAGTACCAGTGTGTAGCGTCATAGGGCTCCGCATTCCAATGGGGTGCCGGTACCTCCTTCTCACACACGACTTTGCTTGTCCCCCAAAGCCCCCAGAAAGGCCAGGAGCTTATTTTGGGCACTTGAAGGTGGCCAAGAGAGTGGGACTGGAGAGGGTGGCAGCAGGTGCCAGGGCAACCATGCTGGTCTTATCTCAGGGTCTACATGACCTAGGGGGCCAGCCCCATCTCCAGGGCAGGGTCCTCTTTCTGGGCAAGGGGGCCCAGTTGGGGCTGAGGGGATGGGTGATTGTGACTGTTCTGTTCTCTGGGGACCCACATCTCACTGGTTTGAATAATCATCAGCAGGTCAGCCACCTGGTGACATTTCACCCACCATGCCTGCTCAGCCACCTTGAGGGCTGACGACCATGCCCCTTTGGGCAGCCCCTGGGCCTCACGGGTTTGAGGCTCTGTGGCTCTTGGAAGCGCCTCAGCAGAACTTCCCCTACTGAGCCCCCAGGAGAGGTGCCCCTGCCTGGCAGTTGTAGTGTGGGGGGCATCCTCTGCCAGGGACAGGGGAGTGCTCCCAGGATGTTGAGAATGGCTACAGTGCACATGTGGGGGTGTGGGAGTTCAGAAACTCCCAGAGGCAGAGGGTGAGGCAGATGGGCATCTTGAGGGCAGAGTTCAGCAGTGGGCGGCCCTGGTAGTACTGGGCATCAGGGCCTGGGGGTCCTTGCTCTGGACTTCTGCATGGGGAGTAGCGAGCAGGACTCTGCAGCTCAGTCTTGCACAGTGTTCAGTGTGTCCCCCTACCTGTGGGCTGGCCACTCAGGAAGGCTCTGGGCTTCCTGAAGTTCTCACTGACTACCTCGAGGCATATTTCTCCAGTGCTTGAGAGCCAGGCTTCAGGGCTTGAGGCAGTCCTGGAATGGAGCTACCTGGGGTGATTCAGCTCTTTCTCTGAGTCTCTGTTCCTAGCCTGCAGGCCTGAGAGGCCTCACTGGCACAGGCTGGGAGGGTTACAGGACAGAGGCTCACTTCTGCTCCTGGGCCTGCAAGTTGCTGCTTACCCTATGTCATAAGGCAGCCGGGAACTAGGCCAGCTGGCTGTGTGGGTTGAACTGCCTCAAAGGGGCTTGCCCTACTAGAGGGCATTCATCTCGGTCTCCAGCTTTTCAGGAGCTGGGAGGGCCATGGGTACTTGCATGGGCCTATCTCTGCTTGAAGCCCACTTGCCATCGCTCATTTGGAGCAGACCCCTCACCTTGAGCCACTCGGACGGGGATTGGAGAGAAGAGCCCGGGAGGGGCTTTGGAGCTCTCTGACCCTGAAACCCTCTCTGAGGGCCAGGAGAACAAGTGCGGGACTGTGGGTTAGTTCTGAAGCTGAAGGAGTGTCTGCAGCAAAGGCGAAAGTTGCCACTGGAAGGTGTGGGACAGGCCAGCCTGGATTGTGGCAACCTGAGAACTTGGTGTCCTGTTTTCTGGTAAACACTGGAAGTGGTATTTGAGCACATGAGGGCAGAATTTGAGGAACCCAAATGGTTTTCTGTTGCTTATTGCTCAATCTGGGTAAAACTGTGGCTGAGTTCCTGTGCCCCGGAAAGGCCTCTGATCAGGCAGTTCCTGGAGACTGGGCCGGTATGTCCTCACTGTAAGCACTCGCACTTGGCTGTGCATGACCTGGCCGGGAGCTTTCCGATGTGTCCTGCACACTCTTATCTTGAATGAAGGAAACCCCAGTCTGGGCAGCATTTTGATGACTGGGGGTGGTGGTTATGACTCCAGCAGGGCAGAGCCTGCCAGTGCTTCAAGGTGTAGAAGGTGAAGGCGGTCTCCCGGTTTGCGCTCTACTGCCTCGTTCTTCCCAGCTCTCCAGCCTTTCTCTAAGCTCCTGGCTCCTTCCTGCTGGAGTCCTGGCGCCCCAGAGGCCTGGATGTACCCATAGGCTCTATGTCAGCTGTGCCCTTCCTATCTCTTCTCTGAAGACTTGCCAGCTGAACAGGTCAGTTTCTAACACTGCTCATTGCTCTGATATTGGTGTGGTTTTCAGGATTCATTGAGGGCCTCTCTGCTTTCCTGTACCCGACTCTGCTCCCCAGAGACCCAGGAAGTGTGAGTGTTGGTATCAGGCTTCCCATGGAGCCTCAGTACCACCTCAGCTATTCTCATCTTACTGATCGTGAGATGGGACTGAGGAAGGGAGCCAGCCTGCTCGATGTGTCCTCAGGCAATCTCCGGACACCCTGGTTCTGGTCCTAGCAGCTGTGGTCTGTCCTGGATCCAAACTTGTGGGGAGACAGGGACAGCATAGCCCTTCCTCATTCTCCAGCGTTCAGTCCTGCACTGAGGATACATCTACAGGTTGTCCATTCTTAGCCTCACTTGGGAGATGGTCTGTGAGGAGCATGGGTGCCCAGAGGTTATCTACTGCCAAGTTTCTCTAACTCCACCCCTCTGACCCCACCCCTGTCCTACCTATTGGTTCTTTAGTCTCATGCTTCCGCACCCCCAACCATTGATGCCATTTTTACCTGTGGTCCCCTTGGAATACCCAGTTGAAAACTGCTAGACTAGAGGAAGTTCTGCAGGGGGTACTTTCTGGTGCAAATGGTGCCCGAATCCTGGATCCTTAAGTCAGCAAATCTCTTTGAGGCTGTTATAAGGGATTGGTTACCTCTGAGTGTCTCCCCACAGGGCCCCGTCATTGTTCTGTGCTTTCTCGTCACAGCAGGGAGATGTTTGGGGGTGGTGGTAAAATTTGGAGAAGCTGGGATTCCCAGATCTGAGTCCTAGGAAGCTGCCAATGCATTCTGCTCAAGTTCTTGTGTGGGAGTAGGTCAGAACTAGACCTTCTCCCTCAGGTGGACCCTCTAAAGACCCCACTGCCCAGACCCCATTCTGGGCCAGTGGTACCCAGCCCATGGAGCAACCCTCACATTTTGTGGCATTTATGCCAAAATTTGGGTCTTCCTGAAGGCAGCTCGAGTTCACTAGTTCCTGCTGATGACAGCAGTTGAAGGTGCCATGATGACTTTCATAGAAGCTGAGAATTGCCAAGACCAGCCAAGATCACACACCTTCCTTAGAAAACAGAATGGAGGGGCCAGAGCAGTAGTACAGGGGGAAGGCATTCATCTTGTGCACAGCTGACCTGGGTCCATTCCTGGTACCACATATGGCCCCTTGAGCCCAGCCAAGAGTGACCCCTGAAAAATGAGTAAGCCCTGAGTCCCTCCAGTTATGACTCAAGAAACAAGGAAAAGAGAACAAAACGGAGAAGTTGTTTTAGGAAGTGAGGGGGTGGGGCGTCTCCGGATGAGTTTAGTGGATTCCAGAACATTTGCCCAAGTGTCCTGCCCTGCACACCCTAATGGCTTTATCAGCACTTGCTGTTCCAGCCTCTTGGGCTGAGAGTGTGGTGGAGGCAAGAGCACTAGGGAGATCAGCGCCCGGGTGCTTCTGTACAGGGGGATCGATCACCCGGAAGTGGAAGGAAGAATAGCAGAGTGGGTGCTGTGCGTGAGACTGTCTGCATCTGCCACCGAGGGACAGGTGTGCCAGCCAGGCCCTGGGATCTGCACCCTGGTGTCTGGAGGGAGAATAAGGGGCTGTTTCTGGAGGCCTGGGGTGTCCTAAGGTTGCTGCAGCAGTTAGGGTGGCCCTCATTTCCTGAACCCCTTCTCAATCCCAGGTTCTGAATTGTGTCCCATGGAACAAATAAGAATTGCCCTTCCAGGGGCACACTAGCGTACAGGGTGGCAGTGTCCTCACCTTTCTTGTTTGGTTGACTGGCACACATGCAGGGAGGGATGGGAAGCCTCAGCGACCAGAAGAGGAGGACCCAACAGTCCTCAGGGTGGGGCTGCCCAAGCCATAATGGTGTGAATTTGTTGTTACATTGGGGCACCGTGACTTAAATTAGGTTTCTGTAGGAGGCCAGACAGCTCTGTGAGCTGAGCACAGGCTTTGTATGTAAGAGGTCTAGGGTTGAGTTCCAGTTCTGCATGGCCCTCTGAGCACCAGGAAGAAAGCTACTGAGTATCGTCACATGTGGCCCCCAAACAAAACATAATCTCTAGGGGAGGACATACCCTCTGTTTTGTGGTGCTGGGGATCAAATTCAGGGTCTCATGTGCAAGTCAAATGCTCAACAAAGCCACACATGTCCCAGTCCCAAGATTAGTGAAATGAGAAAGCCTCTGGGGGCAGAAGCAATAGTACCCAGGGAGTTGGGGACAAGGGACAGAGAGCACTTGCCTTGTGTGCCACCAACCCGGCACCCCAGACTCACCAGGAGTGATTTCCTGAGCACAGAACCAGGAGTAAGCCCCGAGCACCGCTAGAGTGGTCCAAAGATAAAAAAAGACAAGGCCTCTGTTTTGACCTATTTTATTATTTTTGTTCCCTGACTTGGATCACACCCATAAGCCACACTCTTCCGGCACCAGATAATCTCTTTATCTGGAACTGGAACTCCAGAACTCACGGATGCTCCAGACTCTGCACCAGTCTGTGGGGTGGGTGAGAGCCCTCCCCATCCGAAAGGACCCAGCTTGGGCAGCCGACCTCCACTGCCCAACCACTGCCACACTCCAAGCCGCTTTCCAGACACATTATAAGACACTTCATACCCATTTATGCCTCTCAGAGAGCCCGGCAAGCTATCCAGAGTATCCCGCCCACACGTGTAGAGCGATATGCCAAATACAGTAACACCTCATTCCCCTGACCCTGAAAGAGCCTTCAATCATTGGGAAAAGATGAGTAAGAAGAGGCTGCTAAAATCTCAGGGCTGGGAGGAATAGAGATGTTACTGGCGCCCACTCAAGTAATTCGACGATCAATGGGATGACAGTGATACAGTGATATTATTTTTGGGAAGGCCACACCTGACAGTGCTCAGGGCTTACTCTTGGCTCTGCGCTCTGGGATCACTCCGGTGGGGCCCAGAGAACCTTATGGAAAGCCAAGGATCGAACCCAGCTCAATCATGTGCAAGGCAAACACCTTGCCCACTGTACAGTCTCTCCGGCCCCTCAACCTAGTTTTAGATTGGCTAAAGAGTTGACAAAACTTTGTGTGTTGACAAAGGAGTTTTTGTGTCCTTCACTCAACTGATTTCACGTCTCTTGTAACCACAGTTTGGGCATCAAAACTAAGAACATGGTCAGTTGTTCCAGGCTGTATGCTTAAAGGCTTGTTCCCATTTCTGGCTTTCCCCCACTCCCTGTCCTCTCTTGGGACATCTGTTGTCACGCCTTTGCCCTGCCGCTGTGCCATTAGTTGTTGGTCTTCTTTCATCTCTCATGACTGTGTCTGAATAACTATGCCGAGGCCCCTTTGGTTGGTTTTGTCTGGTGTCTTGTGATCAGACTGAGCTTATGCAGTTTGGGCAGAAACCATGGACAAGGTGTCATGGGACCTGGGGGGGGGGGCGGGGCAGCTCAGTGGTTTGCATGGGGAGGGGGGTTGTTCCTATCACTACATTGTCCCCACAACCCTCCAGCACTGCCAGGAGGAGCCCACAGTCAGAGTCAGGAGTTGCCCCAGAGCACTGGTAGCTATGGTCCAATTTGTCTACTATAAAAGAAAAGGTGTTATGTCTTTAAAGCATAGTTTCTAAGGGTTCCTGAAGCAGTTTGTGCTGCTGGGTCTGTTGGTAGCGGGATCCCCTCGGGCCTGGCCCTGCACAGCCTGCATGGGGAGGAGGCTAGAGCCAAGGGCTCTTTCACAACGCTCTGTGGGGCCTTGGAATGGCCGAGGGAGCCAGTGTTAAGCAGCTGGAAGCTTCATGCTTTCTCCGTCTTCCTCTTCCCCTTGACTCTGCTGGTGGTGTGTGATGATTGTGGGTTGCCCTTGCCTGGCTGGGGCGCTCACTGAGGATCACTGCTTCATGGTGGCGCTTGCCCCTTTGCCTGCTAATGAAGGACCGCACACCTGTGCTGAAAGTGCTTGTGCGCAGGACTCACAGACTGCAGAGGTGCCACCATTGTGCTCAGAGTGTGTGGTCGGTACTAAGAATCAGGTTTGAGGCCTTGTGCTTGCAGGTCACAGTCCTGAGCCACTGAGCCAGCCCCTGCCCCCTCATGTTTGATGCTTTGTTGAAAGACATGACTCAGCACAGCAAGCTTCTTTCTTGTTGCTGTCCCTGCCCACTGATCTTCCCTCTGGGCATCTGGCCAGGAGCTTGACTCTCCTCCCTACAGAGTCAGTTTCTGAGTTAGTGACTTCAGCCTAAGGGATACCTTAGGTCTGATGGGGTGAATTTCCCTTTGCCAGCTTCACCCAGATCTGAAATTTGGTTTTTGGGCCATACCTGGCAGTGCTCAGGGATCACTTCTGGTGGGGCTGGAGGTCCCTGTGGGGTGCAAGGGATCGAACCTGGGTCAAGCTCGTGCAAGCCAAGTGCCCTACCTAATATGCTATCTCTTGGCCCCCTGATCTGAAATTTTAAAACAAACCACCAGGAGCAAAACCAAGAGGGGCTGGGGCAAGGGTGGGATGGTGGTGCCACTGTGTGTGTGTGTGTGTGTGTGTGTGTGTGTGTGTGTGTGTGTATCTGTGTGTGTATCTGTCTCTGTCTCTGCAGGCTCCTGCTCCTCTAAGGTGCCTGCCTATGCTCAGCTTTGCTCTTTCTCCTCAGCAGCCCCCGGAGTGCCCCTGCTGTCGTGCCCGCCATGCCCACCGTGCCTGCCATGCCTACCATGCCGGTGCAGGTTTCGAAGCTCAGCAGAGTGCAGCAGGCCCTGGCAGGTGAGTGCCGCTTGTGTCCGGGACAGCGCAGGACTCAGACGGGTTCCGGGGGCCAGTGCCTTTTCTGGGCGATGCTGTACACCAGCGAGAGCATGGAGCTCCTCCTCCAGCCTCACACCGTGTACGCCCACTCGGGCCCGTCTTTTATTCTTTATTTCATCTCTCCCCTCCCCTCTTTGACATGCAAGTTCATGTGCTTTTCCTGTGGTCATCTCACTGGGAGTGGCTTTACTTTCTGAGATGCCCCAGACATTCCCCTGAGCCCCTCTGCAGAGTCCGGAACTATTTTTGCTGCAGTGACATCTTGACTAAGGGGCTTTTGTGTCCAACTAGCTCAGCTGTCAACCACACAACTGAGGCTGTTAAACCCCTCCTCCCTGCCTCCCATGCCCCCCCCCACCTCAGCCATGAGGGAGCCTCTGAGAGGTGCTTTTGAACTTATGACCTTTGTGAAGGCTGGGGAAAAAAATACAGGTAGGAGAGTGGGGAGTCCAGAACCTTCCAAGGAGAAGCAGGAGACCCGTGTTCGTGTGTGAGGTAAGTGAGCATAATGGTGAGGGGGCTTGGGGGACAGGTCTTCAGATGAGAGCCCCCAAGCCTGAAGGTACTTTGAGCGGCTGTAAAGAGTATAACTTGGGAGGGGTTCCCTGGAGGAGGACCCCTGGGGCACTATGTGGATTTCTCCACCTCAGCCCTCTCGCCTTTGAGGAAACGGGCCGTGGCAAGCTGGGGTTCAGTGGGGCGATGGACAGGTGTGGACTGGTGGGGATCGAGAGCAGTCTGGGCAGTGATGTTGGGGCCTCTTCCCTTGGGGAGTGTGAGGCATCACAGAGACACTAGGTAGGTGCTGGGGAGAGGCGTCCTGGGAAGAAGCGGGGTCCCAGTCAGAGGGGAGTGGGAGCCAGGAGACCAGACTGGGGTGCCTAGTGGGGAGTCCCTGTCAGCAAGCCCCCTGGAACCTGGTGTACCTGCTCAGCCTCTGCTGGGTTGGGAGCTGCTCATAGCTTCAAATGACACAGGAAGTCAGACCACGTGTAGAGATGTGGGAGGAGTGTAGGGACGAGGGTGGGGTGTATGCAGAAGTATGTAGTTGGGGGCTGTGTGTGTGTGTGTGTGTGTATGTGTGTATGTACAGGGCTGTGGGCAGCGATGTCTTGTGGGAGATGGTGTGGTAACTGGGGGACCCAGCCTGCCCCACTCCACTCAGCTCTCACTGCTGACACTCCCAATGTTCCATGGCTCTCTGTGCATCACAGTCTGGCTCCTGTCCCCATTCTTCTGCTCAGCAGCCCACAGCCCTGTGTCAGGCTGCACCCAGATTGTCCTCCTTTCCCCTGTGCCTTGGGCTTGCGATCAGTCCTGGGGGCAGGTGGCAGTTGTCAGCTCCATTTCACTTATTGGGGAAACTGAACCCCAAGTGCAGGACTCAGTCGCAGTCAGGAAGGCATGGAGAGCAGAGCGAGACTGGGCTCAGAGTACCTGTTTGGGAACATTGTCGGGGTGCCAGCATGGGTATGGTTGCCCAAGGTCAGCGCTGGGATGGAGAGATCGATTGACAGGCAAGTCTGCAAACAAGGTCATGCTGAGGAGGGGCTGAGCCTCTTTGCTGACCAGCCTTTGGGGGCGCCTCAGCCAGGTGAGGGCTTAGGCACCAGTGTCCGTGACTGCAGGGGCTGGGTCTGGCCTGCCCAGGAGAAGGTGACCAGTGGGGAGCACAGGGAAGCTGTTAGCTTAAAGCAACCCAGCATGGTCATCACTAACCCCCTGTGCCAGAAAGGGGGTTTGGGTACATCTCACTAGGCAGGGTCCTCTGCCGAGTGGAGGAAGGCAGTGACAGTCTCAGCTCTTGTGGCTTTCTGGGGATGTTAGGCGTCTGGGAGCTGTCGAGGAATGTAATGACCCACTCTTGAGGCCCCCTCCAGACAGGTTGGCAGACGCTGCTGCTGCTTTGTTTCAGGGCTACAGCTGGCTGTGTGTGGGGGAGGCACTCCCAGCTCTGGGTCGGGCGTTCCTTCTGGCAGTGCTGGGGGGACCATATAGTACCTGGAGTCAAACATGGGCCTCCTTTATGCAGAGGCTGTGTGCCAGTCCTCTGAGCTCTCTGGACCTGCCTGTGGGGTGCAGATCATCCCCAGATTTCAATCCAGGAAGATACCTGAAGGCTCCAGATTGAGGGGTGTCAATGGCCGCCAGGGGTGGAGGGGACATTCACAGATACAGATGCCAGTCCCTTGCAGGGGAGGCCCTGAGAGGGCATGGCCCTGTAGGTGGGTTCCCAGGATGGGGGTACTCCAGGAGAGGTCTGGCGCGGAGCACCCAGGCCAGTTCTTGAAGGAAAGCCACCCCACTCCCGTCCTACCCCCAGTCTGCCTGACACACCCGAGTTCCTGAGGAACTGACTCCTGAGCCCAGGACAGTGGGGGTGGGGGTGGGCACGGCACAACACCCACCTCTGGTCTCACGTGGAGTCCAGCACAAGCCAGGCCTTTCCGCCTCCTGCGCCCCTGGGCCCAGCCTGGCTCAGCATACCACCTTGGTCACCATTCTGTCTGGCACTTTGCCATGGGGGTCCCTGTGATCCTCGTGCAGGTTCTTTCCCTGAGTGGCCACTGGATAAGCAGCTTCTGCCCAGCCTGGGGGAGCCAAGAAGGTCCCCACAGACCAGCATATCTACTTCCCACCCAGGCTCTGGCACTGTCTGGGAAGCACCCCTTGGGGAACTACCCCAGTCGAAGCCCAGGGAACCTTCCTTGGACCCTGGAGGTGGGTAGCCTGGGCTGTGCTAGAATGGGAGGTGCGGGTCCCTCTGGGCACTGAGGAGTGACAATGGGTGGTCCACCCTGGCAGAGCTACCCGCTGCAGCTGCCCCCTGCTCCCCTCGGATGAGCCTACTGCACTGTTTGAGGGGCCAGGACCTGGACTGATCTGGACCAGGACTCAAGGGGGGGGACTCTGGGGGAGCAGAGCGTGTAGCCACACTCCTGTTTGCTCATCAAGAGGCTCCCAGTGGAGCAGGTGAGGGGAGCTGGGGCCCTGCCAGGGTGTGCATTAGGGTCCTCATTGTCTCCAGCTCTTGATATCGCTCTTGTGGCAGCCCTTCTGCTTTCCTTGTCTGCCCCCTGGCCTGGGGGACACCCCCAGAACCACCCAGGGGTGGTGTTCAGAACTGGCTGCTATGGCGTTGGCTGGGCACCTAGAGGCCCAGGCTCCGGCGAACGGGTGTCCTGCTGGTCCTGACCTGGACAAGTCCTGGTGACCTGGTGGGTCCATATGGCCTCAAGACTGGCGAGAGCGTCCTGATGGCCATGTTGGTGCTGATTCGTGACTGGCCGGGTTTGGGGTGCCACATGCTCCCGGGGGCCACCTCCTAACCTCTCTCCCCTCCACATGTCTGCTCTCGCTCCGTGTAGGCGTGACGAGCACTCTGATGTCAGCCATCGGATTCCCCGTGTGTCTTAGCCGCGCACCCCAGCCCGCCAACCCGCCTGCCTCCCGGCCGGCCTCTAAAAGCCACAGCTCAGTTAAGAGATTGAGGAAAGTGTCCGTGAAAGGTAGCTCCTGCTCCCAGTGCTCTCGGGCTCCGCTAAGCCACCCCCCTCCGGTTCTGCCACCTTCGACTCTCTCCTCGGACCTCTTCTCTGACCCGGCCCAGTCCACTTCCTTTCCTTGGGGGCGGGGCTCAGGGCCCCCTAACCTTCCTGGCCTGGTTCTGGGTTCTGTGTGATCCAACATTGGGGGTGGAGCGGTTCTGACTGGGGACAGGGCCTAGGGAGGCTTTTCAGAGGGGCGCTGCTCTGGCAGCCACATGCTGGGGGAAAAGAACCATGTCAGGTGCTGAGTTTTCCAGGGCTGGCGGGAACCTTGGGAAGTGTGTGGAAGCGCATTCCTAAAGCCCATTTGTCTACTACATCTTGCTAGGGACATTTGGGGGTCCTCCTGCGTCGGGCACATGCAACATAGCGAGGCCCACATGCCCCTGCCAGGGATGCCGCCTCACAGATCACAGAGCTGTCAGGCTGGGGCGTATGAAACAGCCATGGACCAGGTGTCAGGATCCACCAGGTGGAACCCCACCCTCAAAGGTGCGAGGGGCTTCAGCCCCCTCACGCACCCCTGTCTGCGACAGTAGGCAGGCCTTAGAACTCCTAGAGGTGGAGATGGCGCTGTGGGCAGGGCGGCTGCTAGGTTCCACCAAGGTGGACCAGCGCTCCCTCAACCTTCCCGGTCTCAAGTCTCTCTTTTTTTTTTTTCTTTTTTTAGCTTTTTGGGTCACACCTGGCAGTGCACAGGGGTTGCTCCTGGCTCTGCACTCAGGAATCACTCCTGGCGGTGCTCAGGGGACCATATGGGATGCTGGGAATTGAACCCGGGTTGGCTGCGTGCAAGGCAAACGCCCTACCCTCTGTGTTATCTCTCCAGCCCCTCAAGTCTCCCTTTCGTGTGGCTGATAAGCTCTTAATTGCAGCCAGGCAAGTTGGGCGTGGCAGGTGGGAGCTGGGGTGCTGAGCTGGGCTCACTTGTGGGGGGCCAGTCCCTACAGGTGGTGTGTGACTTCATCTCAGGAACAGCCTGCGGCCACAGGCGCCTCTGAAGGAGGTGAGATCCACCTGGGTCAGTGCTCAGCTGGCTCAGCCCACTTTGGCCTGACTCGCCAGCAACCAGGGCCTGCGCCTGCTCCGCACATGGAGGTTTGAGGGGAAGGTGTGTGGTGTGTGGAGGTCAGGCAGCTGTGATTTTTATTTGCTCTGCTCGTAATATGGGAGCTGAGACTCCGGTGACATAGTTTGGAACCTCAGGGCACCTAGTCTGGGCCTCTCAGCTCTGCGCAGGACCATCTGGCATCTGTGGTCTAGAAGGTGCTCTGCTTTCAAACCCCGATGGACATGGGCAAGGGTCTGGACTAGCAGCTATCCAGGGCCCTCCTTGAGGGCCATGAGTAGCCCTTTCTGGCCGTGTGCTTGAGCAGTATCGTGTTTTGACCCCTCGCTGCTGTCTCCCATCACCCCAGTGACACCCCTGCGTGGAGTAGCCACCAGGCTGAGGTCTCTCTCCTGGCCTCGTACTCATGTGCACAGAGGCACGGGGCAGGCAGGGACCATTCTGATGCCTTGCAGCTGCTTTTCTTCCTAGTCTTGCTCTGCTGAGGGGACTCCGCAATCCAGGGCATGCCTGATGCTGTCAGGATGGCACCCACAACACTCGCCCCTGCAGTGCAGCACTCTCCAATGCTGTCCCTCCTAGACAGGAGCAGAGGACATGGCCATTTCTTGCAACAGCAGCAGCAGCTGATACCACTGCTGCTACCCTCCAGGGCAACTTCCTGTCGGATGTGCAGACGGGACCGGACTGTCGCCTGTCTCCCTGCCCTCTGCCCTCCCAGCCCGGGTCAGGCCAGGGTGTCCCAGTGGAGGGCTCTGCCCTGGTGCCTCTTCACACTAACCTTCCCTCCTCCACCCTCTAACATCCGCCTGCAGCCTGGACTCGCCCAGCTCCTTCCTCTCTGGTCTCAGCACCTCCCAGTCTTGACCCTGGGACCCAGCTAAGGCTCTTTTCTCTTCCAGGAGGAACTGCAAAGCCAGAACCAGAGCAGGTGGTCAGAAACTACACTGAAGAGCTGAAAGCAGCCCCTGACGAGGTATTGGCCCCGGGAGCCAGGCTAGATGCAGGGAACAGTAGCTAGATGCAGGGAACAGTAGCTGCTTTCTTCTAGAAGGTTCTATGATCTTCCCCAGCCAGCTCCTTGATGCCAGCCACTGCCCCAAGCTGCTGTCTCCTGATACAGCCCACTACTGTAGTTCCGAGACTCTCCATTTACAATGGCCAGGAGCTACGGCCTGAGCGTAGTTCTGACCTCCTCATAGTCCCCTCCTGTGCCTTCTGGGGCTTCTGGAGCCTTGGGCTGGTAGGGACACCCCCAGACATGCAGTGTCCTGACAGTGCAGGAGAGGGAAGCCACTTGTCCAGGTCATATCCTGCCCTCTGGTCCTAAACATCCCAGACCCTAAATTTTCTGCTGAGCCACGTTTTGGGGGGCTGTCTTATTGCATTTCTATTACATTCTGGAATGGGTGGGCTGAGGCCACCTGTAGGAGTTGCCGGTGGGGGCCTGTGTGAATCCCCTGGCTCATGTCCTCAGGTCTCCCAGCCTCCTTTGGGCCCTCTCTGCTCTCCTGCTTCCAGCCACTGTTGGCTTCTCGTACATGGTTCTCTGCTCCTCTAGGAGAAGCGGCTGCTTGGCTACTGCCCGCCTCTAGCTGCCACCTCACTACCAGCACAGGATGACGTCACAGGGTGGAAGGGGGGTCCCTGATATTGCAAACAGCTTCACTGGAGCACAGACTAGGCCTGCAGGTGCCCCGGGTCGCACCTCTGGCATTGCGTGGTCCCCCAGCACCTCTGGAGTGCCTTCCCCTCCCCCCACCCCAAAAGAAGGCAAAAAAGCCCCAAGTCTTAAGCATGGTGAAAAGAACCTTCTGGAATCTGGTATCCCCATCAGATCCTCTCCTCTCCTCCCAGTTTATCCTTCACTCTTTGTAGCTGCCAAATTCCCACCCCAAACCATAAGCCAGTTTGTGCTTCAGAGTATTCTTTGCCCTCTGCCCAGTGCCTGGGCCATTTCCTGGTGGGACACCCTGCTTTGGGGGCCCTCTCCCTTCCAGCTGTTCCCACTGCATCTGGCCACACACGTCGCATTGCCTGTCCTCCCTCTGCTGTGGGTAGGGGTAGCCTTCTGTGGACACAGTGCCTAGACGCGACCCACTCCACTCTCCAGACCCTCCCACTGACTTGACTGCAACCATAGCTCCAGACTGACAGCCCAGGAAGGCCTCATGCTTTGGGTCATGCATCCCCAGCTAGTGACGTGCTGCCTGTGTCGATCCCCCTCCAGGACTGCATCATCTGCATGGAGAAACTGTCCACAGTGTCCGGGTACGGTGATGTGACGGACAGCAAGAGCATTGGGCCACAAGCTGTGGGCCGCCTGGCCCGCTGCAGCCACACCTTCCACCTGCTCTGCCTGCTGGCCATGTACAGCAACGGGAACAAGGTGCGGGCTGTCTGGTCATCTGTGGGGTTAGTGGGAGCCAGCAGTGGCTGGAGGATGGAGGCACAGGTAGGGCCCAACACCCACAGACCTGTCTTCTGCAGTTTCCTTGGGTTTGAATTGGGGCCCGCCCTGGGTGCAGTTGTGCTGGGGCTGCTCCTGGCGCAGTGTTCAGAGGCCTATGCAGTGTTTGCTGGTCCCTTATCCGGCCACTCTGTGGGGTTTGGAGCCTGCAGACATTATGGAGTCTTATGCTCCTAAACCCTAGTCCCTCCCTGCCACTGGCCCCTGATGCCTGGCACGAGTGACTGCTACTTGGAGCTATGGGCGCAAAGCCTGTCTTTGCAGAGAGGCGATCGGGAGCTCAGTGCCAGGGGGAGGCTACCAGGTATCCCCGGGACCTGGGCCCCCACTCAGCCTCTGCCTTCCGCCCACTCACAGGACGGCAGCCTGCAGTGTCCTTCCTGCAAAACCATCTACGGTGAGAAGACAGGGACCCAGCCTCGCGGCAAGATGGAGGTGTTTCAGTTCCAGATGCCCCTCCCAGGCCATGAGGACTGCGGGACCATCCTCATCGTTTACAACATCCCGCATGGCATCCAGGTGAAACTGCAGCAGGTCCACAGCATAGACCCCTAGGAACCAGGAGGCACTAGCTCAAGGAGTCAGCGCCAGCTCAGGGACAGGGCAGCCGAGAGATGGGGCAGGCTGTACTTCCTGGCAGTGGTGGCACTGTATTGGGACTCAATCTGGACACAGCAGGGGCCCCCCCAGGCCAGAACCTAGGTGGGTGGGATGGGTGTCAGGAAGGAGTGGGACACCCTGCAGGGCTCAGGAACACCTTTGGGAGCTCTGGCCCCTAAGACTTCAGCCAGGCGTGACCTCAGAGGTTGGGAATCCCAGGAGCCACCTGGGGGGCACTGGCCACAGTGTTCGTAGTTGAACCAAACTCTTCCCTGAGGGGGCTGGAGCAATAGTCTCTGCCTGGGGAGTGGATGCGGGTTCCCGTCTCAGCACTGCATGGTTCCCCGAGCCCTACTGGGATAGCCCTGGTGGCCCCTGTCCTGACGGGCTTGATAACAACAGGCCAAGTGTCACCAGGCATAGACTGTGGACCCCTGGGCCTGCTTGGGAGATCCCCAACCAGAAAGGTCATCTCAGTGGCTGGGCAGAAGTCAGAATGCCATGTGTCCTTGGGGGACGTGGCTGCTGTGTGCAGGCATGGAGAGACTGCATCCCCATCTTGGGGACCCTGTGCTACAGCAGAGGGGCCTTCCTAAAAACTCTGTCTCAGACTCATCACAACAGGTGTCACAGCCAGGGGCCCACAGTCACATGGGGCTATGGGGCTGCAGCTGGGGGAGCTAGAGTAAAGATGGGGAATCACTTTTTCTTTCTTTTATTTTGTCTTTTTGGGATACACCTGGCAATGCTCAAGGGTTACTCCTGGCTCTGCACTCAGGAATTACTCCTAGTGGTACTCGGGGACCATATGGGATGCCGGGGATGGAACCCGGGTCTGCCAAATGCAAGGCAAATGCCCTCCCCACTGTGCTGTCTCTCTGGCCCCGGGATCGCTTTTTCTTGTACCGGGAGAGCCTGGCCAGGAATGGGGAAGGGGGTGGCCGGGCTCCATGTGCTGGCACCCCTATGGTCACAGATCCCCCTCTAACATCCCCATCCCTGTGTGTCTTCTTCCCGCAGGGCCCTGAACACCCCAATCCCGGCAAGCCCTTCACCGCCAGAGGGTTCCCCCGCCAGTGCTACCTGCCCGACAATGCCCAGGGCCGCAAGGTAACTGGGGAGGACCCCGGGCTGGCAGAGCTGGGCCAGCTGCTGTGTGGAGGGATGTAGGGGGACAGCAGGGGGCCTAGCCTGTCCACCACCACCACACTCACCTCTGCCCTGCTCACCTCCTTCCTGTGTCAGGAAGGGCTGGGGGCTGGGGAGAACCCAGGGGCTGCCTGGGGAGTTGGTGTCCTTCTGGGGACCTCTATGGGCTGTGGGAGAGGGAAAGTGGCCTGGCCTGACTGTATCGAGTTGCTGCTTACGGTCAGACGGGTGGGAGCCTGAGGGGACTCGGTACTGTAGCCTGCACTGAGACCTGGGGTTTCCCTGCTAAGCAAAGGAGGTAGGCACACTGCAGACACGGCCAGGGTGGGCTTGGATACAGGGCCTGCTCCCAGGCCTCTGCAGGGGCAGCAGCCGAGAGTCTGGCAGCGAGACATGCTGCAGGAGGGTGGACGCGGACAGAGACCTGGGTACTGGCCACCAGGACTCTCGGAGGACGGGTTCTAGGCAGTGTAGCCTGAGGGGCAGGACTTGGTGGGGCCCCTGTTGCCCACAGCTGAAGTTCAGGGGCTCTGTACAGGACTTCATGGTGGGGGCTCCTAGCCAGAGTGGTGGGCAGAATTCTAGGAGGGCCAGCAGGGCCCGTCGTGGCTGCCCCCCATACACACTTGCCACTGGGAATCTGGGCATTGCTGTCCTGGTGGGACAAAGCAGCCGCCTGGGCATGGAGCTCCCGCCCCCGCCCCCGCCCCACTCAGTCGCCCCTGCCCGCAGGTGCTGCAGCTGCTGAAGGTGGCCTGGAAGAGACGCCTCATCTTCACGGTGGGCACGTCCAGCACCACGGGCGAGAGTGACACGGTGGTGTGGAACGAGATCCACCACAAGACAGAGATGGACCGCAACGTCACGGGCCACGGCTACCCCGACCCCAACTACCTGCAGAACGTGCTGGCTGAGCTGGCTGCGCAGGGCGTGACCGAGGACTGCCTGGAGCCGCAGTGACCCTTGCCTGCCCCCCTGCCAGCAGGGCGGCCCCAGGACGGTCTTTCCTGGGGCACTGCGATGTGCGGGGGGCAGGGTATCCACTCCTGGAAGTTGGGGCTTCTTCCCTCCAGGCCGGGTCTGCGGAGGAACGAGCAGCTTGGGGAGTTGTGCCGGGGGCTCGGGTGATCTCAGTCACCTGCGGCCGCAGAGCAGGGGCCTGGCGCCATGAGCCCTGTCTGTAGGCAGCACTGGGCCGCAGTGCTGGGGCCTGGCCTGGCCAGCAGAGAAAGGCGGTTTGGGTTCATCTTGCCTCGGGAAAGTTCTGTTTGCAATAAATGCCTGTAGCCAAAGTCAGCACGTCTGGGGTGTCTGTCAGAGGGGGTGTGAGGGGAGTGTCAGGCGAGAGGTAGGGTTGTGTGTGTGTCAGGAGAGGGTGTGTATGTATTAAGGGAGAGTGTATGTGTGTCAGGTGGGGGTTCTGTGTGAGTGTTAGAGGAGGGTGTATGTGTCAGGAGCGGGGGCGTGTCAGGCGGGGGTTCTGTGTGTTAGGGGAGAGTATATGTGTGTCAGGGTGTATTGGGAGAGGGTGTGTATTAGGGGAGGGTGTGTGTGTGTGTCAGGAAAGTGTATGTCAGGGAGGGGTGTGTTTTGGGAGAGTGGGACTGTGTATCAGTAGAGGGAATGAGTATGTGTGAAGGGAAGGTCTGTGAGTTGTGTGTGTCAGGAGAGGATCTGTGTGTGGTGTGGGGGGGAGTGTATATGAGGTGGAGGGTGTGTGTGTCAGGGGAGAGGGTGTATGAGAGACAGGATGTATGTTGGGGGAGGGTGTGTGTGAGGTGGAAAGTGTGTCAGCGGAGAGGACATGTGAGGGGCTGCTGACCACCAGGGAGCCTGCAGTCCCCACTTCCCAGAAATATGCTCCTCACACTTGCTCCATGAGAACCGCTTCTGGGGATGGTGTGACAAGGCTCCCTAGGGCCAGGGGAGGCCAGGGTTCAGGGAGCTGCCTTGCACACGTCAGCCTAACTTCCTTCTCGGGCACCTCATGGTCCCTGGGCACTGCCAGGTGTGGGGAAAGAAGCTCATTTAAGGACAGGTGTCGGTCAGTCAGTCTTCCCCGCGCCCCACCCTGGCCGAGGGCTGCTGGCCAGTCGCTCCCTCTTGGCCGGCCTTGGCTTCCTGCCCGGAAGGCGGCAGGGAGGGCCCTGTGTCCTTCGCCCTGTTTCCCTCCCCACGCCGCTCCCTGGGTGGAGCTGGGAGGCTCAGGGAGGCTCCTGGCACTCGGGGTGCAGGAATCTGAGGCACGAAGAAGGCCTGAGCTTGTTTCCAGAACCTGGTCCCCACCCCCACCCCCAGGTTCTGGGGAAGCTGGGTGTGGCCCAGACTCCCCAAAGCAAGGAACTCTGGGGGGACTGGAGCAAGTCCCCTCCTGCAGATGGGGGGAGGGTCATTCCCATTTCAGGTCCTGCCACCCGGGCCAGCCTGCCTGACCAGCTCCTCCAGCCGCCTGGGCTGGGGGCTGGGGCGCACCAAGACAGCAACGGCCCAGGCTGCGGCGGCTCGGAAGATGGGGCTCCCCCGAAGGCAGCCTGGCCCCTGGCTATGGCTTCCCATGGTAGTGCTGCTGTGGCCTCTCTGCACGTGTCTAGGTGAGTGGGGGTCCCTGCAGGGAGGCGCTGGCAGGGCTGAAGGGGCTGGGGATGGGGGACGACTCCCATTGGGAGAAGCAGCCCCACGACCCTCCTGCTCTCGGCCGCCGCAGAGCTGGTCTCCTACACGCCGCAGATAACGGCCTGGGACCTGGGCGGGAAGGTCACTGCCAGCACCTTCTCCCTGGAGCAGCCGCGCTGTGTCCTCGACAGCCACGCCCGGGCCACGGACACCATCTGGCTGGTGGTGGCCTTCAGCAACGGTGTGTGGGGGTGTAGGTCTGGGGGAACTATTATGACAATGGGGGGTGGCTGAAGGGTCCTGGCGGGGTCGCCTGGGCTGAGCCTGGCCCCACCCTCCCTCTCCCGCCACAGCCTCCGTGGGCTTCCGGAACCCGCAGACAATAGCAGGCATCCCAGCCGCCCCCCGGCTGCAGACCGATGGCTACTACCTGACGCTGCCCATGTCCCCAGAGCTGCTGCGCTGTGAGGCTCCCCAGCGCAGTGGCCGCCACATCCGGGTGCTGCGGGTGGGCAATGACCCCCACTGTCCTGTACACACCCAGCAGCCCCCCTACTGCAACAACCCCCTCCCCAGCCCCGGGCCTTACAGGTGGGTATCCCACTGGGACCCTGGGATGCACTGTGCTGTGAGGGGGAGCAGGGGGTTCGGGTCTGGACTTCACCCAGCCTGGATGCTAGAGGCATCTGCAGGTTCCAGAGTCAGGGGTCTCCTAGTGGGGGGCTTCTGGCTGTAAATGCAGATTCAGAGGGGAGCTGAGTCAGGAGGGTTGGAGGTGGGAAAGGAGGGGCAAAGACCGCTTTTGCAGGTGGGGAAACCAAGGCATAAAGGTTGGGTGGAGCCAGGGAGGGCTCGGGAAAGACCAGGCCGTGGGTGAGATACTTTCCTGCCCCAGCTCCCACCCGACATGCCCCTCCCTGCCCCTCCCTGTTCCTTGCTGGGACCCTCCCCTGTTGGGCCCTGGCACTTGGCTTCTGGGTCTCCTGGGAGGCCTGGACCCCAGAATCAGACAGGCCACCAGAGATGGGGCTGGCAGAGGTTCTCAGGACCCCTCTGAGGACCCCTCTTTTTTCCTTCCCCAGGGTCAAGTTCCTCCTAATGGATGCCAGGGGCACCCCTAGGGCTGAGACAAGGTGGTCTGACCCCATCACCCTCAACCAAGGTAGTGTGATGGGGTCTGCCTGGGGTAGGGTTCACACAGCCGCCGTCCCCTTCTCCCAGTGGCCTGTGGGACCCTCGGCAGTTACCAGCTCCCAAATGCTTGCCCAGCCTTGGGTGCCCAGGCTCTGACTAGCCTTGGGCAGTAGCAGCCCTTTGCTGCCAGGTAGGACAGTAAGGGCAGGTCTTCCCAAGGGGCCAGGGAAGGACAGGGAGGGGCAGGGAGGCCCCGGGGGGCATGCCAGGTGGGTGAGGGGGCAGGAGAGTCATCTCGCCCACTGCCTGGTCTCCGCCAGGGCCACACCCTGTTGCACCCCTGAGCCCTCCCTGGCTCCACCCAATCTCTGTGCCTCAGTCTCCCCACCTGTCAGGAGTTGCGGGCCTGTGGAAGGCTGGCTTCCCAGGCATCAGTCTTGCCCAGGTGGGTGGCCGCAGGGTCATTAATGGGAACAGCCTAGAAGGTCGGCACCGTATTGGTCCTGGCTGTCCTAGGATGTGGGGCAGCCTGGCCTCAGCTGAGGCCTGGCCCCTGTGTTGCAGGGCGGGCCCCAGGCTCCATTGACACCTGGCCGGGGCGGCGCAGTGCGGACATGATTGTCATCAGCTCCATCCTCCCCTGCCTGGCTGGCCTCCTGCTCATCGCCTTCCTGGCTGCCTCCACTTTGCGCTTGTGAGTGGGGCCCCTGCAGCCGCCCCCAGAGCTGCACTCTCCCCTCACCTGCCCAGTGACCACATGCCCTTGCCCTGCCCTTGAGCTTTGGGGTGGGACAGGAGCTCCCAGGATCTGCCACTGTCTCTTGGAATGTCTAGTCCTCTCCTGTGAGCCACTAGGGTAGTCAGGGCAGCCTCCTGGAGGAGGTGTGTGGGCCTCTTGCAGGTTCCAGAAGAAAGAAAAGGGGCATCAGAGGAGAGGGGGGCCAAAAGGGTGGGAACGCTCTGACTTGGCAGATCCCCACCCACCCAGCAGGGTCTCAGGGTCCCTCCTGTCCCTCCAGCTCCAGCCTGTGGTGGCCTGAGGAGGCCCCAGAACAGCTGCGAATTGGCTCCTTCATGGGGAAGCGCTACATCACCCACCACATCCCGCCCAGCGAGACCCCCATGCTGCCCGACTCCCTCCCCAGCCTCAGCCCCTGACCACCCGCTGCTCGGAGTTCTCTCTCTGACCCGGGCAGGCATGAAGGTGTCTTGCTCTGCTCTGAACCGCGTCACCCGGGAGGACCAACTTCAAGACAGCCCCCGCGGCTGCCCACGAGTGGTTCCTGATCCGACCACACGGGGGCACCTGTGTACTGCAGCCGCTGGGCTCTCGCACATGCGCGCGGCTCTGCCCAGCACGGGTGCAGTGAGGCGCCCACCGCTTTCCGGGGTCCTGGAAGTTGGTGCAACTGTTTTCATCTCCATCAGATCCGAGAGCCCACCACATGCCATCCCCTCCGCCCAGCTGCCACCTTTTCTGAATGGGGAAACTGAGGCTTGTGACCTGCCATCCTGTCCCTTGTCCACCCTCCCAACCCTTTCACTCTTCGCTTGGCCCCCAACTTGCAGCGTGTGAAGAGCCCCCGTCTTTGGAGGTGAATAAAAATGACCTGATTCCACCCTCCACCTCCGCTTCTTGGGGGCTGGGGCCTACCATCCTGGGGGCTACCTCTAGCCTGTTCCCTTCCTTGCTTCTCTCTCTGTCTTTTTGGGGTGCTGTTTTCTGATAGGCTCAAGACAAGCTCAGGAGCATTGCTGGCCCCCCATCCCTGAGCCCTTCTGTGTACTTTGCAGCAGCGGGGTCCCACAAACCCTTCAGGAGCCCTTGCTTGAGCCAGATGGCCCCCAGCCCCTGCCAGTACCCCGGCTGTGCAAGGGCTTGCTCTGTGCAGAGAGCAGCAGAGTCACTGCCACAGCTGAAGGGGGCTCAGGCCTCCCCGCCCCGTCCCGGGCCACACCTGGGTCTGGGCTCCTGCTCTTTCAGAATCTGCTTCCTCCGGGGAAGGACAGTGGATTAAAGCCCCCCACCAGCCATTCTGTCCCCTGACCACCCCCTACCCCCAGTGGAAGGAACTGAGTTTTGATGGTGCTTGAGTGAAAACAGGAACTGGATCCTGTGCGTTCCGGCCTCAGTGCCAAGTCTGCCAATCCAACTGGCATGCACCCCCAGTTCCAAAAGCTCTAGCCAGCTTTCCTCCACCCCACCTTCAGTGTGACCATTGAGGCAGGCCCGTGGGGACCACTGCCATACCATGAGTGAGGACGAGAAGCTGGCCCAGAAGCCCACAGACAGCTGCTGGCCCCCCACGAGGGCAGGAAGGGGGTGCAGGAGGTCTCAGTCCTGGCTGGTCTCCTCTGCTCCTGCCACCCGGGGGACCCACTGATGCCCCGCCTGGCTCACAGTCCATGGAGACACCAGTCACCGCCTGACACAGGAGCCCAGGTCCCAGCTCTCTGGGTCCCAAGGCCTCCCTGAGCCCCCCCTGACCAGGGCTCTGTCCTTGCTCGTCCCACTAGGTAGGACACTCCTTCAGCCACTCGTCTTCCAGATCACTCTGGAAAGCCCGCCCGGGTTCCTCCTCTGCTAGTGCTGTTCTGGTCTTTGGATCTTTTACTTGTTTGTTTTGGAGCCACGCCCGGCGATGCTCAGGGCTTTCTCCTGGCTCTGCACTCAGGTATCACTCTCGCAGGGCTCGGGGAACCATATGAGGTGCTTGACCTTCGGTTGACTTTGGGTTGGCCATGTGCAAGGCAAGCGATCTCCCTCTCTATTACCACTCCCACCCAGGATCTTTGCTTCATGTGGTGGTGGCGCGTGTTCCATGTTGAAGCCGCTAACCCCAAGCCTGGTCTTCTTTCCCTTCCCCGCAATGTGGCAGACCCGGGGTCAGGGGATCCCCAGAGTTCCCAGAAAGTGCCTAAGTACATTTAATGAAACCGCTTGTAAATGACAATAGAAGGGCCAGAGAAATAGTGCAGAGCTTAAGGGATTTGACTGGGACCTGTTTGAATCCCCAGCACTGCGTGTGGTCCCCTGAGCACTGCCGGGGTCACTCCCAAACACAGAGCCTTGGATAGCCAACTGACAGTAGAGAGCAGTGGCTCAGCGGTAGGGCCTGCATGCATACGAGGCCGCAGGTTTTTTTTTTTAATTTTAATTTTTATTTCTTTTTATTTTTTGCTTTTTGGGTCACACCCAGCGATGCACAGGGGTTACTCCTGGCTCTGTGCTCAGGAATTACCCCTGGCGGTGCTCAGGGGACCATATGGGATGCTGGGAATTGAACCCGGGGCCACGTGCAAGGCAAACGCCCTACCCACTGTGCCATTGCCTCAGCCCTGAGGTCCCAGGTTTAATCCCAGCAAGGTATTCCCGCCTCAAGTGACTTCTGGCACTGCTGGTGTGATCCCAGATTCCCCAAAAAGCCACACCTCAGCCAAGAATGCAATCACTGGCACCAGAGTGTTGACAACAAAAGGGCAACTATGTTTCAACACTCAAAAGCGGCATCTAGGGCCTGAGGGAGGGTACCGTGGGGAAGGCACTTGCCTTGCACACAGCCAACCTGGGTTCAGTCCCGGGCACCACATATGGTCCCGAATCTCATCAGGAGTGATCCCTGAGTGCAGAGCCAGGAATTAGCCTGGAGGGCTGGAGCAATAGCACAGCGGGTAGGGCGTTTGCCTTGCACGCGGCCGACCCAGGTTCGAATCCCAGAATCCCGTATGGTCCCCTGAGCACCACCAGGAGTAATTCCTGAGTGCAGAGTCAGGTATGACCCAAAAAAGCAGAAAAAAAAAAAAAGGAATTAGCCTGAGCACCACTGGGTATGGCCCCCAAGCAAAAAACAAAAGAGGAATGTCAGGGATCCAGGGGGGACAGCTCAGAGTGCTGGTATGCATGGTGAGCGGCAGCTAGGAGCGGCCCCCAAAACCCCAAACAAAAATGGGACAGATTTAGGGTAATCGGGGAGCTGCAAGACTGAGTGCGTGCCCACGAGGCTCAGGTTCCATCCCCAGCACTGCACGGCCTTCGGAGCAGCCTGGGTGCAGTCCTGGTGGTCCCCAGCCGCTAACCCCTAGCCCCTAGCCGCTAACCCCAGCCAGTCACTAGAGCCGCACAAGCACCAGATCCTGGGGCTGTGACTCCAGGAGGGACCTCCGAGTATCTCCCCTGGGCCCCCAAGCAGTACCAGGAAAACACCTGTACAAGGGCCAGAGAGAGCACAGCAGGAGGACGATGCGCCTTCCACACTAGCACCCCAGGTGGTCCCCTGAGGCCCGCCAGACAAGAATAGAGCCTGAGCTGTAGCCCAACAACAACAGTAAAATATACAGATAGGCAGACAGACAGACGGACAGACAGACAGCTGCAGGGGTAGGCGCCGCAGGTGACAAGTTCTGGGTTCAGCAGCGCCAGCACCGCCGGGCGCCACCCTATGTTAAGTGACAAGGGTCTGCATGTACTTCATGGAGTGGTGCGGTGCTTGTTCAGGGCCATGATTCAGCCTTATTTACTGACTTGTGCAACCCTGCCCGCGATCAACCTCTTAATCACCCCAAAGAAACCCTACCCCCTTAGGCAGTCCTCTGTTCCGCCCTGACCCAACCCCGCCTGGCAGCCACTGCAGCGGGAGGAGGAGGCCACACTGCCCGCGGGGACTCCACCTGTCCTGATTGTTCCTTCGTCCTTTCTGCCTGGACAGAACTGCCTTCTGACCCCCATCACAGTGCTCCCATTCATGTATTTCCTTCCAATCACACTAGTGAGGTGGAGAAGAAATATTCTAGAGCCTGGGGACTCCTGGTTTTGTTTGTTTGGGGGCCACACCTGGCAGCACTCAGGGGTTACTCCTGACTCTGCACTCAAATTACTCCTGGCGATGCTTAGGAGACCATAAGGGATGCCAGGGATTGAGCCCAGGTCAGCTGAGTGCAAGGCAAACACCCTCCCCGCTGTCCTGTGCTGAGCCTGGGAACTCCTGGAAGCCCTGGGAGTCAGTCTGGAAACTGGTTCCAGCTTGAAATGAAGCTGCATTCTGTGGACCCCACCGGCCTGGAGGCTTCTGGAAGGAAAGCAGGCTGGCCCCCTCTTGTCTTGGGTTAAGTGGCTGGCCAGGTATTCCTGCATTTTTGACCTGGGGCTTACGTGGGGGGCTCCCTCTACACAGAGAGTGAAAAGACTCAAGGGGATCCTAGCAGGTGGATGTGGGGGCAGGCGAGGGACCAAGTCGTTCCAGAGAAGGAACCCATGGGGGGTTCTCCTTAAGAGAATGGTTAGACACAATACCCAATAAGAGAGAGAGAACAAAAGGGAAAGCCCTGCCACAGAGGCAGGGTGGGATGTGGGGGATGGGGGGTGGGAGGGATACTGGGATCCATGGTGGTGGGAAATGGGCATTGGTGGAGGGATGGGTATTTGATCGCTGTATAATTGAAACCCAAGCACAAAAATTTGTAAGTCTACAACTGTACCTCATGATGTCTCACTAATAAAAATTATATATATAAAAAAAAAGAGGATGGTTAGAGTGTCCTGGGGCACGTCAGGGAAGTGACACTCCAGATAGAAGCAACATCCTTTGGTCCATGACGGGGCCCCCCTAGGTGTGGCAGAGTCAAACTGTCCGGGCACAGCAATGCTCAGTCACTGGGGGACACACTTGGCCGGAGTGGCCCCAAGGCCCCAGCCCTAAGACATGGGGGCTCCATGGCATCATGAGCCCCAAGCTCAATGCTTGGGTGTGACACAACAACCCACAGCACCTCAACAAGTGTGATCCCAACTGGGCACTAACAAAAGAGAAGTGGGGGAAGGTTTGTATGTGAAAATATTTCTGTGTCTCCACCCTATAGATTCGTACACACGCATATGCACCAGATCTACGCGCCGTTAGGCACCAAGTACGCACGGGGTACACGCCCCTAGGCACCTATACACACACATAGACTAGATATATACACCCATCAGCACCCCCACACCCAGTGTAGACCCGCAGACAGCATAGACTCCCGAAGGCACCACCGGTACGCACTTGTGTACCATGTCCGCTCACCTATGAACACCCACTTACGCCCACTAGTGGGCAGAACAACAGACCCCACAGGGTCCAGTTTCAGACCTTGTCCTTAGGGACACCCCCACATGGGGGCACCTGTTCTTTTTTTTTTTCTTTTTGGGTCACACCTTGTGATGCTTAGGGGCTACTCCTGGCTCTGCACTCAGGAATTACTCCTGGCAGTACTCAGGGGACCATATAGGATGCTGGGAATCGAACTCGGGTTGGCCGCGTGCAAGGCAAACGCCCTACCTGCTGTGCTATTGCTCCAGACCCTTAAAGGGTCTTTTTTGGGGGGGAGGGGGCACCCATTTTTTCAGAGCAGTGCCCCTCCATGGAGGCCCAGTCCCCAAGCTCAGTGGGATGCTGTGGGTAGGGGCAAAGATGAGTTCAGGTGGCCCTGGGGAGTGATGTGGAGGGAGCCCAGGGCAGATGGGGTTTGGGGGTCCAGGCAGGAGGCTGGGGAAAACCCTTCACCCGACCTTGCCCTGTGGGTGATGGAAATCTCTTGGGCCCTCAGTGCCACTTGGTGGCAGTGGCCCTCACAACCTAG